AAAAAAAAAAAAGAAACTCCGTAAATTGGGCATTGTTAAAACTTCACATTTTTCACTTCTTGGGAAAATGTGTCCTTCGAGTCAGTTCGTTTGGATTTATTTTTCTAGTCCAGATGGACAGTACTATTATATAAACATTCAAATTCCTCATACTCTGCAATTAAAAATTTGGTTGAGGCAATACCCCACGTACATCTATCGTAGCCTTCCTTAGTGGAGGAAGCTATGGTATCTATCGGACGCCATGTTACCAAATTTATGATAAAACTTGACCGTTTCAGGCTAGGGAAGCCTAGGTGGGCTTGAGCTATGGCAACACGCGCCTTCTTAAGATCTATGGGCAGCACCGTCGCCTCTGGGTGGCGATGGCAAGCGGCAGGCAGCTGTAAGCCATGAATTTAGGAACAAAACACGACATAAGTATCGATTTTCTTTTAGAAAGTCGTGATCATTCTTCGTTGGAGGTTTTCCTCCGTCTATAATGGTTTAAAAACGTTTTTGTTTTGCTTAGGTACACTTTCAGGTAGTGAGATGTTATTTTTTCTCTAAAATAAAGTGGTATTTTCACGATAACCAAGGTGTGTCCGATAGTTGAGTGGGACAAAAGGAGTCAGGAGGGACAGCGTAAACTTTTATTAGATGCCCTACCTTTTCAAAAAATCAGGAATGTAATATTATAGCACCCCTGGAACATAGAGGGCACAATTTTATTTCTGCATTGAAGTTATGAATCTGCTTCTGCCCATCTTCGTAATTCGCAATTCACGTCTTAAGATTTCATGTTATTCTCAGATGTTTCACGTGAAAACATATGAAGATTTTTCACATTTTTGTAATAATATAAACAACCCACCAAAGGACATAGCTCTCAATAAATAAGTTGCCATTTACATTCATTGGCTAAACGTGTACAAACACGTATACTATTCCAATGACTTTGGGTTAGCAGAACAGCATACTAAACATTTTGTACGAAAACACTGCAAGATAATAACATAACTTAAAAAAGATTGTTTTCATTGATCGTTAAATAGTAGACTAGATACACTGTACCTAAAAAGACGTTGAATTAGACAGACAATCCATTTTTTGGTCTCCTCTATATTCTTAATACATCAATTGTTTGTGATATCTACGGAAAACAGGCAAAATGGTTCTGATTGTTATTTGGAAACGCTGTATTTTATACAGTTTTTGTTGTTATTTCTAGATGCTATCACTAAGATTTTCACTCATTTTTGTTATTTTGAACCGACTGGTTAAATTTTATTGGATAGACATGTTGGTAAATAATATGATTTGATAATAACAGGCTTGGAATCCACGAGGGAAGCGAAATAAGGGATATAGATCCTCTTTACATTAATTCAAGGTGAATATTATTTGACCTTGTCACGCATACATGTCGTTCTGACTATTCCAACCAATAAACTTCTTTTGCGAATTACTACGTGGGTCTCCTTATAGTCTACGGAAAACAGGCAATGGAGTCTTTGAATTGTCTATTCTGCGAAACTGTATTTTAATACATTTTTGTGTGTTGGTTATCTCAGATGCTTAAATCACTAGCGGAACTTTCTCGAATTTTTGTTATTTTGAACCGGACTGGTGAATATTTATTGATAGAATGTTGGTAAAACTATTGATTTGAATAATAACTAGGCTTGAATCTTCACGGGAAGTGAAATAAGGATATATCCTCTTAAGCATTATTCAGGTAACTATTAATCTTTGCACTTTGTCACGATGTATGCTCGTTGCTGACTATCTCAACTTAACTAACGACTTTTCTTTTTGGATTGGACTCGGGTCTCGCCTTATGTCTTCCAGGGAACAAATGTCAATGGTACTTTTCATCAGCGGAACAAACGCTCCATTTTTACGACAAAAATTACACGCTAGAGACAAGAAGTCAATATGAAAGTATTTACTACCTAAAAATAGTATCTTATCAAAAACTATCCCTCGTCTAATGTGCAATATAGATATCAAATTATATCAGATAAAAATGCATAAAATCGCGCTCCTGTTCACATATGACTAATCAACTAACCAAAATGCTATTTTACTAGATTAACATACTCACTAATTGGGAAGCCAAAAATATAGCTTTAAATTTTACTCTCTCAGGATACGAGAATTCTCAAACCTAAAATTGTCGTGTCACCCTACTTTTATTTTACAATACTAATATTAAAAAAACAACTTGCCAACAAGTATATGGTACGGCGCAATGCCTA